ACCCTGTTGAGTCGATGGAAAAGTCAGTATTTATTCTATGTTATGGTTTGATGTCGTGACACGTCTTGCAGGTACGAGCAGCTTGCCATCAAGATCGCTGGTGAGTTAAGACAGGCAGCGCTTACCGGTGACCTTCGTAATATGCACAATACTCCGGTGGACCGCTTCAAGAGTCGAAATTCGTGTCAGCTTGCTGCTGTCGAGAAAATCCATCATTCGCGCACCGTTGACGAGACAGTTCGCTTATGTGGAGCTGCCCTCATCGAAGCGCGGGATGCACTCAAAACTGCCAAAGCTACAGCCAAGGTACTTCGCTCCACTGGTTCCTCAGTTACTCACTGCATCTTGTAGACAACATCAGGCAGTCAACAGACCATTGCCATAGATGTTGTACATGACTGCAAGCTTGCCGTCAAGACTGCAACGGCTAATCTGGCCCAGGCAAAAGCTGAAGTTCATGTGAGTACTGTCTGACTTGACCATAGTAGTGTCGCAGTTTTGATGATTGCACTATCCAGACCAACTCTTCCGGACAAGTCCGAGCTTCCCGTGTGGGAAATAAGCCTTCAGAGCTGGAGTCTGAAACAGCGGACTCAGAGTCGGGATCTGTGCCAGTGAGCATTTTAATAATAGCCACCACCACCACTACCACCTGCATCAAGAGCAACAGCTGCCATGCTTGCAACTCCAAAAGGGGTCGCACAATCCAGGAAAGCAGAAGGAAAGTGCATCTGAGAGCAGTGGTATCCACATCTAACCACTCTTACATAAGCGACACCAGTTCAGAAGTGAGGACGATTTTCTTGGAATTTGAGGGATTCAGGGGTTCAAAAACATTTGGAGACGGAGACTTTTAACAATAACGGCAGAGGTTCGACAACAGAAACGGCGACGGCAATCAAGAACGGTGATAATGGACACACACCCCGCTTCAGTCTGGGGTCAACTCTATTCTGTCCTATAGCTACCATACAGCGGGAATTTATACTATTTGTCCCTGCCCGATCCATCGTCCACTAAATCTCATCTGCGAGATTCGGATCTCAATCTCAGATAACATCTCACAACCCAGCGTGCATAGCCCTGCAAGGCACTCGATGACCTGCGCTGATGGCACCCACATCATCAGCGCGGCTGTGCGCTCCATTCCAATCTTTAGCGATCCATCAGGCCTCCGGAGGATCTACCGATTTAGTCCGGCCGGCGGTTCAACTCCGGCTGTACGACTTTTAAAAATGAATATCCTGCGGCTGGCAGTACTGCCTCCAGATGGCATCTCGGGTGCCCAATTGGGGTGCCCAATACTGAACTCTGCCTGTTGCTGCATACCCCCCACTATCTGCCCTCACAAACGAGCTCTCCTCTGCGCCTGCACCAATGCTGAGCTGGCGTCCAGCCCTTCGTCACACCAGTTCACATCATTGTCAGGTGCTTTCGTTGTGCTTTGCGATGTCCGTTTGACGCATCGTTGTCATTCTGGACGCTCTTATGATGCCAATGCATCCGGCTAGCCTACGTGTGTGGCTCCCGCACTTCTCCTTGCAACCTGGTTTGTTCTCATGCTCCGGCGACAGCGAGCAAGGCCGGTCGTTATCTCCGCTGAAAGATCACACCACTCGGTCCGGTCCGCCATTGGTCCCGGCCCTCAACCATCCCTCAACAGGGTGTTTGAAAGATGCCGACTATGGTGTTTATGGTTGTTTCCAACAGCGCATGAATGCACCGCTCGTCACCAGGCAAGGGGTATGTGTGCGTGAAATCCCCGATATTGGGTCGGAAAAGTGGATTAAGGGCCACTAGACACCCCCCCTCCCTGTGTGACGTCACACCACATGATTGCACGTGATGTCCCAAAAAGGGAATTCCTTGATGGGCACCAGAAACGGGCGAGAATCTTGTACAGTACTACTAATTTCTTCTATATATAGGGTCCCTTCTTGTGCCCTTCACCTACACTCACCCTGCAGACATCATCACAAATCAATTTTAGCCATGACATTGCTATTGCAGGTGTGACTGGGGTGTGACACGGCCATGTCATCACCACCCAAATAAGAAATTGTCATCAAAATACCTCAGAACAACACCAGAATCTGCTTTCAATAACAATTATGTACATTCTGAGACTGTTAATAACATTCCCAGCCACTCTGTACCCTATAAAAGAAAACTGAATTAAGGCCACCAGACCGGCCCCCTCCCCTCCCCCTCTGATGTCTCGGCTTGCGCCGGCACATACCCCTTGTCACCAGGTGTGTGTTCGGCTTCCAAACATTGGACCTTAGATTGACCAGCCTCTTCCACTGTATCTCATCTATGCATGTGACTCGTAGTGATTTGCTGGGCCGGCCCTAGGGCCAGGGCTTCGACTTCTGCAAGCCCAAGCCCTGGGGCTCCAGCCCTTCCGGGGCCCCGCGTCCCTGTGTATTCCTCTCTGAACATTACAGCTTATAAGAAGTAGTAGCACCACAGCAGTGCCACCACTGTTCATTGCTCAACTTCCCAGTGTGAATCCGTGTGATTCCCATTTCGCAGTTCTCCACAACTCCACCACTTTCTCATGCAGATCGCTGGGCGTCTCCCGGGCGTCATAGGTCCAGAATTCATAACGGGCTTGCAATACAATTGCAATTTGTGCACAACCGCAAAGAAACATATGGAGTTAAGCAGGGGCCTCTACAGATCACACCATGACGATGTACTCACGACGTTGTCCCCCGCATTACTGTATCTAGCGCTCCAACCCTTTCCGTTTATAAATATTTACAAATGGTAATAAACATTTAAATGCCCATTTCATTTGTGAACATGGGCAAACATAAATAAAATACAAATAAATAGTTTAGATGGTTTTCACTCTAAACACACTCAAACTAATATCAATGGTGTGGTCCAAGTACTTCTGACCCTTGGAAACATTTACACTCATTTTAGAACCAACATTTCATCACTATGAAGTTTATATTACCTCTCCTTAGCACTGAGCTCCATTTTATCTTTGACATTTTGGTAATACTGTACTATTTAGATCAGGTGTCCGCCACGTGTAACACGTAACAGACACTGTCTGCTGGGTAAGGTGTCCGGATTTCCAAAGAAGGCAAGTCCGGCGTCAGACTGAGAAATTTCCTTTTTCAGCCTGTTTTTGATGGTAATCCGGCCCTGAACGCGTAACGCAGACCATAAGTGTCTGCGCCGCTACCGTGTGTAACGCGTAACATGTACACTTGATCTAGATAGTATAGTATAATCAATAGGAAATGCACTTTTGATATCTATTTTACATTGAAAGGGACTATTGCAGCTTAAATGAACAGGTTTCTTGTTGGTAGATGCATATATGTCATAAAAATTGACATAATATATGGCAAAATTTTTAAGCAGAGAGCTCAATTTTGCTTGATGGGAAGAACCATTTACAAATAGTTTCAAACATTTATTACTGGTTATATTTGTGTTTCTATTTGATTTGAAAATTTCACAAACAGAAATAAAATAGTTTCGGACCGAGGCCGTCTGAAGTAGCGGCTCAGTCTGTGGCATGTGCCGCTGGCAAGTGTGCGAAGTGGGCTTACCTCGGGCGGCGCGGGCGGGACTCGGAGGCCGTGGCTGTTGCGCAGCGCGGGCGCGGCGTATTCCTCCGTGAGGATCTTGTACTCGAGGCGGAGCGCTGTGAGGCTCTGCGCATCGATAAGCGCCGTGGAGGAAAAGAGGAAAGATGTGCACCCACTTGGACCCCCCCTCCCCTCCTGCCTTATATAGTAATATATTCTCACGATCAGCGTCATGTGACCACTGATGCAATCAAGAAGTGGGATAAAAAATTCAATCTTTGTGAAACTTTTTTTTTTTTGCAAAAATTCTATACATGTGTATGTGTATATGTGTAGGTATGCATGTACCTGGAGCCTTCAGACACACATGGCAGGCCACATCAACTCTTCAACATGTTCACCTCTCATTAATTACCTGATGATGGGCCCATGACAGAGTGGGCTATCCAAGCTCATGGGCCTGAAAGTATGTAGATATAAGTATGAGAGTTGTGAACTATAGAAATTAGAGTGTATACATTATACTTTCAGTGTTTTTACACTCATATAAGGCCCAAATCTTTCATATACAAAAAGTTTTTTTTACCCCCCGTGGACCCCCCCCCTACCCCATGTGCCTGATAATGATCTTGAACCCCCTTGGGCGCGAAGAGGCTGCGGGCGACTGCCTGCACGCGTTGGAGGTGGGGAAAGCCGTCGTGGAGGCGCGCGAGTCATCCGAGAGGTGTGGAGGGGCAGCCAGGTGCTCGCGTGAGCATGCTTCGAGGCGGGCGAGGTAGGCTGGGTCGTCGAGGCCGTGGACGGTCATCACTGCAGGAGTTCGGGAATAAACGGTGCTCCTTTCGATCCATTATACACCTAAAATCAGTGTACCAAAAAAAGAAAATTTTTTATACCTCTATTTGCACCATATCATATAAGTGAATATATGTGAATATTTTTGGTTCATGTTTTGATACAAAAACTGGTCTAGAAAAGGCTGTTTGATCTGCCTCAAAACCAGTTGACAAAACTGAGTCTGTTTATAGTATCTATTTCTCATATAAGCAGGCATATTTGGAACAATTTCTTTTGGGTGCAAATAGAGGTATAAAAAAAATTCTTTTTTTGGTACATTGATTTTAGGTGTATAATGGATCGAAAGGGGCACTGTTTATTCCCAAACTCCCGCAGTGCATGATTAAAGCTTTCGTGATCCGATAGCAATCTCGACAACGTGATGTGATGAATCACACCGCCTCTTGGCGATGACGACAACAACGGCGAGGGCTCTCAGACGGAGTCAGGAAGGGACCTCCGGCGTCGTAGACTCGTAGCCGCCGTAAACATATCGTTTGTCTGCTCCGTGCTTGTCGTTGTCAAGGTTCCTTTGTTCCGCTTCCAAACATCGGCTTAGGGCCGATTGACCGTCGCCAGCTTTCCACTGTATCTCATCGAAAGTCGAATTCATAGCAGGCTTCCAATACAATTACAATTTGTGCACAAACGCGAAGAAATACTCATTCACCCCCAGTTCGCGGACGCCTGCTCGGTGCCCCAGGCCGCGATACTCGTCTGTGCCGGTGCCGGTGCCGGTGCCGGTGCCTGGCGCGTTTGACGCGTCGTCTGCCACTGCGGGTTGGGCTGTGGTGCCGTGCATCAGCAGAGGGCTACTTATTGAGATGGCCTTCGACGTACCTGGCCTCGCCCTCGGTTCGCCGGCGCATTGGCACCGTGGCCACGGCTGGAGCCCCGGCCGGAGCCAGTACCGGAGCCCCGGCCGGAGCCCCGGCCGGAGCCACGGCTTGAGCCGCCACTTATCGCCGGAGCTAGGCTGGTGGCGGCCGTCTGTGGGTTGATATTAACCTATAGGCCACACCGGCTCATCAGAACCCCAGAGGACCTCGCCAATAAGATGCACCTGTGCGTTTTCAGGTCCTGCCGATACGGATGCCCCGTTCGAAGCCTGCGCCGGGCCGTCAGGTTGCGCCGACTCTCGGCGCGCCCTCGCCGCCGCCCGTTTGCGCGCCGACTTGCTCAGCGCGTGCGGGGCCCCAGCTGCAGGGGTCTGCCCCGGAGGCGCACCGCGTCCTCGTCCGCGCGGCGCCGCGTCCCACCGGGCTCCGGTCTCGGTGCTCGGGCCGTCCCATCCGCCGGCGGCGGCCGGTCCCGGCGCCGGCACGGCGGCCCACGTGTCCGTCGCCTCGCGCTGCTCGGCCGCGTCCCAGTAGACCGCCTGCTCCCACAGGCTGATGTCGTGCATCAGGTCCGTGTCGAGCGTCTGCTCGCGCTCAGTCCGTTCCCACGCGATGTGTGCGGAGTAGGCGTACCTTGGGCGGCGCGCGGGGGGAGGCGGGCGGGAGGCCGCGGTCCTCGCGCAGCGCGGCGTATTCCTCTGCGAGGAGCTTGTATTCGAGGCGGAGCGCAGTGAGGTTCTGTGCATCGATAAGCGCCGGCCAGAGAAAGGGAGGATGACGACGACGCACCCGCTCGTTCCCGTCGATGAGCGTCGCGTTCACGCTGGTCAGCACCGCGTTCTCCGCGCGGAGGGCGGCGTTCTCCTGCCCGAGCGACGGTCGTTGAGTGTCGAGGTTCAGACGAATCATATTATGATAATACCCGCACCTTTCGCGCCTCGTCGAGCTGTGCCTTAAGCTTCTCCACCTCAGAGTCGGGCGGCGCTGGGGCTGCGGGACTTGGGCTATCGGCCATCGACTCGTCGTCGTGGGTGGGGAGAAAGAGCGAGACAGAGAGCGCAGTAGCTCCATCGGCCCCCACGCATGTCCATCAAGCTCAGGTGCCGCGGCTTCCGCTCCCTGCGCTATTTACGCCGGCCAATCGCAAGCCCGCGGCGATCACGAATCGTTCATTACGCCTGATGAACCGTTCAACATTATGATTATGCTCGGTCGTTTATATGACGGCATGTACATCTTTCACCGTGCTGGCCAAATATGATTACATCATTTTGCCGGCATATTATATCATAATCCTATCATATTCAGAGCTTTAGCACAATACTAATATATATGTAGTATAGTATAACCATATTCAGGTGCCAAAATATGAACACATTATGAACCTATTCAACTATACTTAGGGCTGCAACCATTTCCGTGTACAAATGTTTGTACACGGTAATAACCGTTTTTATTTTCATTTAGTTTACCATAGTATGTAAATAGTAAATAAATGAAAACAAATGGTTTAAATGGTTATCCCCTACTGTACTATTTAGATCAAGTGTCCGCGTTACGCGTTACACGCGGTCTCGGCGCGGACACTTGTGGTCTCCGTTACGCGTTCAAGGCCGGATTCCCATCAAAAACAGGCTGAAAAAGGAAATTTTTCGGTCCGGCTGACGCCGGACTTGCCTTTTTTGGGAATCTGGACACCTTGTCCAGCGGACAGTGTCCGTTACGCGTTACACGCGGCGGACACTTGATCTAAATAGTACAGTAATAACAATAGCTGACAGGCTTATAACCATGTTACTACTAGGAATATGTCTGGTTACCACATGCATACTAGTGTAGAACATACATCCTACATGAATATGGATAGTTGCGGCATTTGTAGGCCTCCTCTTCCAGGAGTCCATCACATGATCCAGCATCAAATAAGTCAAAGGCAATGAATCTTGGCCTACATGCCCATCTAGAACAGTATTACAAGTGAGAAAATGACATCCTTCACTTAAATAAACCTTATAAACTCAAGTATGTACCATAAAATTGTTAATTATTCTATGTGATTATATTAGCATTTTTAACTGTTTTTAAATTGTAATAAACGTTTACTAAATGTTTTCTTACCATTTCCGTTTAGTTTACCTGGAGGTGTAAACGAAAACTAAATAGTTGGAGCCCTAACTATACTGTCCTATTTTGATTAATCCTCCGTATTATGTGTTACATGCAGTCCTGGCATAGACACCTGCGGCCGCCGTTATGCATGCAAGTCCGATGCGCCATCAACTCCAGGCCTAAAAAGGCGATTTGCCGTTCTGGCTGACGCCGGACTTGCCTTTTATGGGAATCCAGACACCTTGTCTGGTGCACAGTTCGTGCACATTATATGCCATCACAGACAATTAATCAATATGCATATTTCTGGATATAGCTGACATATTTGCTGACAAGTTTGTCAGCGTCGGGTCCAGGCCATATTGGGTCGTTGGGTCCTCCGACTTCGAAGAGGTCTAAGGAGCACGAGGGGATGGGTTTTTAGTGATGGCCACATCCGGTCCGAATATTCGGTCCGAATGCGAACTTCACCGGACCAAACTGCGGTTTAGTGTTGTTCACTTTCGGCCAAAGCCCTTTCCGAACCGAACTGGAGCTCGGGTTCGGCCGGGTTCGGCGTTTATTCCCAAAAAGGCTGGTTTGGGGCCGGTTCGAACCGGCGTTCGCTTCCCTCATATGGCCACATCGGCCGCATTTCCCTCATTCGATCCACAAACACCGACACGGCTTCTGTAAGTACCTCCTGTGGCACTTCGGACCCCTTTCTGGGGTGGAACCCCAACGTCAGGAAGAAGGGTGAGAACCCTGTAGCTTACGTACTATGCCTTTGTACTCATCCCACAGGGAGATTCTGCAGACTTCATCGGATCTCCCTGCAAGGTCATATATTCCTTATGCTTAGCACTTAGTATAAATACTCATACTCCATGTTCCTGTATTTTAGTTTCCTTACTTGCCTCGCTCGCTGTTCTTATCCGACTCCCCCTGTGTTCTGAGCCTTTATCACCTTCGGCGCCCGCAAACGTATCCGCAGGAGTTCACATATTTGTTCAGACTTGTATTTGGCCTGCAAGAGGTGTAATCTCTCACTCCAATATGGTGTTGTGATAGCTACCTGGGTTTCCTTTGGACTCTCTGCTACCCCCTTCAGTCTTTGCGTAGCGCTAAATATTCAATGTAGATATAGTACAAGAGATACATAAGCTATAGGATCATAGGTTATCTATCACCATATAGACTCAGGGAGGTGTCAAGTGTGGAAGACGGCGCTGAGGAAGAAGAAGACGGTGTACACGACAACTTGGACAAGCGCAAGCGTGTGTGTGAGGCTGCGGCGCAAAATGGTCTGCCCGCAGAGCCCACTATATCGGTCCACGTCAGCACAGTGCACATAGAGTGCAAACTTCAACACACCACCAAAGGCAAAGCCCTCCTTGCGCAGCGCCCAATTCTGCGGGCAGTTACAGGGCGTGTACCGCCGCACGCGGATGTCGCCGTTCTCCGAGGCAGAGTGTCGGGTGTGCATGCGAGGCGTCAGCCATGGGTCGTAAGCTTGGCATGTAGTAACCCCAGAAGACCACTTACCTCAGAAGCACGACTCCCCAATACCTATAGCTGCAAAGCTGATGCTGTGGTTGGACTGTGTTACAAGGCCATTGTCCTGTCAGAGGTATTGAGAAGGCGGGCTGTGGAACCAGTTAGTATGGCGGCGCTGAACCAGCAAACTTACGATAGATGAGCTCTACATTGTATGGCCATGCGCTTTGGTCCACGTTTTCTGGACACCACCGCATTGAAACAAGGGGAGAGTTGGGGGAAAGGAAAGAAAAAGTCCAGTCTGTGACAGTGACTGTGGAGGAATGATGGTACGTGATGGTATGGATCCTGTATCCGCCGCCCTGTAAATGTGCTCTCGTCATCAGGCTCGGCTGGACTTAGAGTATCTTTTCCACTTCCTGAATTCAGACCAGTGCTGCCCTGTCAAGCCTCACTCTATATCATTGTATATTGTGGTCATATATGGTCCTATGACTATATGCTGGATAAAATTGATTTTACTAGCCAAATTATCATACTTAATCATGCTTTACACATTCTAGCAAAATTATCTATTTTAGTGCTAATTTGTGCTAATTAGCGTTAGATAGGTCTCTAGGGGATAAAGGCCTGGGAGGTTCCACTGATAAGCATGTACTAGAAAGGCTGGGGCTATGCCCCAGCTTCAAATGTTGCTTCACAGTTTTTGAAGATTGAATGTGCCAATTTTATTCATGATGTTATGAAATCTCAATGTCTATATGCCCTACATACTAATGTTACAGCCAAGACCAAGATCACAAATAGCCTTAGATTAGACTTGTTTATGGTACTTGCTGCAAAATCTTAGTTTTACATAGTTTTCCAGCTTTGTGTCCCAATTAGACTCTTTACACTGGCAGCTTTTCTTACCAAATAAGGGTTCAAAAGCAGTGAACCCAAAAGTGGAAATGTGGATTAAATGAATTGCTAAAGCTGACGTCAAATATGTGCATACATTCACACAACATCTGCTTAATATAAGAGTACTGTACTATTCCATTCAATTCTGCAGGCCTGTGACATGTGTGGCAGAAATGTTCAATTCAGCCAAGGGCTGAATTTGGTGTGACCTCCGGCCTTATTTGGAAGTTCTGCGCGCTGTAGGCACGGGAAAGTTTTGGAAATTACCATTTTGGGATGGTTTGGGACCAAAGAAATTTGCTGTGACCTGTGACAAGCAGAAAATTTTCGGCCAAAAAAGTCAATGTGAGGACAGGATGAATTGATCAAAATAGTACAGTAACAAGCTTTCGTGGGGTTCACCAACTTCTACCAATGCATCCAGGGCTACAGCGAAGTGACAAACTCACTGGTAAAGGTGGCTGAACCAGGAAGTGTTACCATCAATTAATCACGTGGTCGTTATATCTTATCTCATGATGGGAATATGTTACCCGATATAGTAAGGAAGGGCCGTGTAGTCGTTTATATGTACAAAAAGGAGTGTCTCATTTATTTAAGTACATAACAACAAACAAACAAACAGGTATAATCAATAGTCAAACTATTACTTTTCTCTCTCTCCCTCTAAAGTTGCATCTTGCCCGTCAGCCTGATACAAGGGGGGTTCAAGATCCTTATCAGGCACATGGGGTAGGGGGGAGGGGGGGGTCCCAGGGGGGTAAAAAAAACTTTTTGTATATGAAAGATTTGGGCCTTATATGGGTGTAAAGCCACTGAAATATAGTGTATATACTCCAATTTCTATAGTTCACAACTCTTATACTTATATCTATATACTTTTAGGCCTATGAGCTTGGATAGCCCACTCTGTCATAGGTCTATTGACAGGTAATTGATGAGAGGTGAACATGTTGAGGAGCTGATATAGCCTGCCATATGTTTTTGAAGGTTCCAGGTACATACATACATACATATATACACATATACATATATAAAAAAAATTGCAAAAAAAAGTTTCACAAAGATTGAATTTTTATCCCACTTTTTGATCGCATCAGTGGTCACATGATGCAAATCGTGGGAACATATTACCCGATATGGCAGGAGGGGGGGAGGGGGGGGTCCCCCAGGGGTCGGAAAAAAACTTTCCGACCCTATATCCATGATTCGAGACTTGAACCCCCCTTGGCCTGATATCCCGCGAGCTCGCGCCGACCGCGACGCCGACCTCACCCTTCACGAGCACCCACTTCTGCGCGACGACGTCCCAGACGCTGAGGTCCTTGACCCGCAGCGGGATGCTCACGCCCTTGCTCTGGCCCGCACCGAGGAACACCCGCGAAAACCCGCGGAGCAGTCTGGGCGGCTCGTTGTAGGCAGCGGGGAATGTGAGGTACAGTTGTGCGACTTCGGTGCCGGCGACGCGGCCGGTGTTTTTGAGGGTGAAGGAGACCGAGCCAAACGGCGCATAGAGCGCGGCTGGGCCGCCGATATCGCCGACGGGGGACGAGCCGGCAGAGGGCGCGGATGCGGTTGAGGAGGGGCGGACGGAGGAGGACGCCGAGGCGGAGGCAGAGACGGAAACGGCGATGGAGGACGCGTTGGCGGGGCGGGAAGAGACGGCCGGTGCGGAGGACACCGGGCGGGTCGAATTGGCTGACGCAGACGGCTTGCTCGAGATAACCGGGGCAGAAGACGACGACGGACGGGAAACCGCCTCAGCGCGGCGCTTATGGCCCGAAACACGCAGGCCGCTGTAGCCAAACGTGGTGTAGCTCAGGCCGAACCCAAACTCGAAGCGCGGCTTGATGCCCTTGACGTCGAACCAGCGGTAGTCGATGTTGACCCCCTCGTCGTACGTGAGCTGCGGGTTGCCGTTGTTCGGGACATTGTTGGTGTACAACACCTCCGCAGCGTAGTCCTCCCGCTTCTTCGCAATAGTGTACACAAGCTTGGCGCTCGGGTTGGTCGCCTGCGGGCTGTCACTGAACAAGACATCAACAATTGTGTTGCCGCTCTCTTGGCCAGGGAGGCCCGGCTTGAAGGACGGCAGTCACGTTCGGGTGGTCGATCCAGTCTTCCACGGTGACCGCGCCCGACAGCGTGTTGCACGACAATGGTGTTGGGGCACTGGCCAGCGACATTGGCGATAAGTGCCTCCCCGCCATGCCAGAGGGTGATGTTGTTCCGGTCACCTTGGTTGCCGCCCACATTGATGTAGCCCTCGCCCGAGTCCGCGTTGACAAAGACAAGGCACGCGTCCGAGTTGCGCGCAACAGGGGCCATCGCATTGTAGGCGTAGTCGGACAGCACGCCCTCGACGACGACGGTGGGGTTGATCGAGCGGATGTGCGCCGAAATGGCGGCGAAGGGGTCGACGAGGTAGGGGAAATTGGCGGTACCGGAGCCCCAGCCCATCGCCAGAGTGCCTTCGTTGCAGCCCTTGTCGTTCTGCCCGTCGCTGCAAGCATTCGGCCCCGCCGGGTGAGGAGCGGCGTCGGAGCCGAAGATTCCAACGCCTAGCAACATATTAACATTTGCAACGGAACCAGTATAAGGTTATACACACGCTTGAGCTTGCGCACGCTAAGAGGCAGCGCGTTCTTGGTGTTCTTCAGGAGGACCGTGCTCGCAGCGCCGATTTGGCGGATGAGCTTGTAGTGGTCGGCCTGGACGCTATACATCAGGAAAACTAAATTTTTCTGGGGGGTCTGGGGGGTCTGGCAGACCTGGACAACCTAGTTCCAGACTGGCCAGAAAATTACCTGGTACTAGGTGTCCCAGACATTCCCCCAGAGCAAACACCAGATAAAGAATGGACATTAAAATGCAATCTCATTAGCATGTGCATCTATATACTTATTAACATGAAATGAAAGAAAGGCATCAAGAGAGTGAGTATAACGGAGGTCATGAGGAATATTACGTTCCCCAAACACAGGAATAAGATGGGCCGCGCGAAGAATAGTGTCCAAGTGCTCGATCGTAATGAAGTGAGACCCGTACCGGATGTCTGGCTCAACAATCCACATTCCCGTCTCTGGGTCAGGACGGGTGCCCACCTTTTTAAACCACCGCACCAATGCACAAGGATGATAGACACCATTGTAGGTGAATGAGAAGAGCAGTCGGATACGAACAATGCTCATGCCAGAAAAGCCAGGAGTGTCATCTTCCACAATGAAGGCACAGTCACGACGTGGACCATGCTTTCGCCATGAGGGTGTACAGCGTATACGCTCACGTTTCATTCCACGGATACCAGAAGGATCACTGGGGGAGTAGAAACTGGCGATTGCGGAATGGAAGACAGAGAGGTGTTCAATGTCATCAAGGCTGGTGTTGGCATCGATGTCAAGGTATGTGCGGAGAAGGTCAGGAAGCTGCGGGACATTGATATGAACACCAAGATCGTCGGGATCAGAGGGGTAAGAACGCTCTATACTTGAATATCAGCAATTGCAACTATGTCAGTTGAAACAGACCTCGTGTACGGGCAAGGACGACCGTACCCTCAACCCGTGGCCCATCAATCGCCTCTTCATCTGCATCGTCCTCTGCATTGACCTTGTCTGGGAGAGCAGGAAATTGGGGACGCAGCATGCCACGCTCTTCAAAGTCGACACGTGCTGCAGCTAACTTGTCAAGGCGTTGGTTCGTGAGCAGCATTTGCCCCAAGGCTTCAAACCGACTTGAGCGACGCCATGGTTTTTTGACAGCAGTGATATGACGTGATTCAGTAATGGAAGAACAGACGCCATACGGCGCACCAAATCGCTTGATATCCCAGCAGTAGTGCAGGATAGAGTGCTGACGGGGTAATGAAAATCCATCAGGGCGAACACCTGCTGTGCGAAAGAACTCGCGACGCTTGTGGAAGGTTGCAACCGCAGCATCGATTGAATCGAGCGTATCTTCATCGAAGTCTTGTCGACGGACCAAATAACAGAAATCCAGAAAACTACTCAGTGTCTGGACGATCTCAGGTGGGACCAGACCCTTGAGTGCGGGAAGATACACCTTCATTAGTGCTTTTGAGTCGTCCCCCGTCCATTGCTTGAATCGCCGACCTTGCTTGAAGCGTCGGAGGCCACCAAATGCCGGAACAGCAGCAATTCTATCAACCTCAGATGCTTTCCCAACTAAACGTGTGCGATACCTTACCTTCGGTCTATTTCATCAAGTATTTTCTCCGCTTCAGCCTTCTCGTGACTCAGCGACAAGTACTCCCCCACCCACTCGACCAGATGGTCCTTGAATGTGCCTTTGATTAATTGGTGCAGAAGGTCGGGCGAAAGCATTTCATGGATATCGGCTCGCGGAAACTCAGTCGTAAACGGCTACAGACTCTAAGCAAATAGACATTAAACTGAGAGTAAACCCATACAATTACGTCGGCGTTGATACCATAGTTTTCCCAAAGTGTCTTTACATCACCGTCAAAGGCCGCGATGAGCTCCTCCGTGTTGTCGTACGTTCGCGCTGTTGATATTGACCCATCAAGATCATGCGCAGGGGCAGTACATCTAGATTTCAGTGTTAATCTGGTGAAACAATATTCAGGTAGACGTACTTTGTACACCACCCTTGAACGACACCAGCAAGCAGAACTTGCTCGGGGTAGTCAGCAATGAATGGTCCGAAGTCATAAATGACCCGGCGGAAGTGGCCATCCGGGCAGCGGCGAACAACAGGCTGGGTCATTCCGGGCTTCAGCGATGAGAGAACGGCCGCCCAAGATGCATGGTATAGCTGGCGCTTGAAAGTTCGAAATGCAGGATCGTTGTCATACTTTCGATCGCCTGTCGGAGATTATCAGCAAGGGCAATGACGAAAGGGCAGTACAGACTCTTGGGGATTGCGAGAAAGATGAATGGGACAACACCATTTCGATGCCCTCGACGGAGAGTACTATGCTCGTTGCCAAGCGCCATATACCCTGGATGGTATTCGATATTGCCGGTGGAGACCGAGACAGTGGTTTTGTCTGCGCCAAAAAACAGCGGGCAGATCATTGCTCCTGCGGTAGAGTTATCCGCCTTGTAAATGTCGTCCTGGAGAGATTCAATCCTCTATATAAGTCACGAAAGTAATAAGTATTGCTCACAGAATGCGACCATGCGAAGTTTGCAGACATGAAATCTGACCAGCGCCGTTTATTCTCTGGGTTGATCTCGATGTAGGGAGCATAGTCGAAGAGCCCATCGAAGTCCGGGTTATCGAGGAGATTCTTGACAACGACCTCGGGGTCGCGGTACCAAATCTCATAAGAGCGTCGGGCCCACTCGGGAGCATTGGCGGCAGTGGAGACAGGGTCGGTGACGAGACACTTCCAAGGAGCGTCGCCCAACGTTGTTGCGTCAATGGTTTCATAGAGATGGTCGGCATTTGCGAATGGAGCAAGTTCGTCGGACTTGAGCTTATCCAACGCCCAAATCTCCAGCAGCTCATCGATGTTGGAGCCGGAGATCTGAGCCTTGCGGAAAGCGAAGTCTGCAAGGCGGAACTGGACCAGGTCTTCGTACGGGTCCCATTCGTCCGGCGCGAGATCGTGTCGCGGCTGTGGTGGTTCCCCTGCGGGAAGATATGCACCATTCTCATCGCATGGACGGCCTATCACACATGAGAAGTCATCCTGTTCAAAGCAGCTACCACGCACCAGTAAGAAATGGGTGATGGATCCGCCGCCAGTGGTTCTCAGGCCCATTGCCCTCTCCAGCGCTAGCGCTTGCAGGTGGGGTTGAAGAACGTGGTTCCCAAGCGGGCATTGGGCTGTCGCGCAAGGGAGATGCTCCTGACTCGGAGTTCGATCCTTCGCTAGGGGAAGGGTTGTCGAAGGGCATTGTCGAAGGGCCCGCGATTTCGGTCGGATTATCGTGATAAGCCCGAACATGGCGAGTGAGGCCTGACGCAGTCTTGAATGTCCGCCCGCAGCCAGGAAACTGGCATGGCAAGTCCGGGATAGTCTTGCGATTGCCCCGCCGAGGCGATTTTGGCTTCGAAGCTCGAGGCATGTGCTGGTGGGGTGTAAGACTTTGCGGAATAGATAGTGGTGAAAGCCTAAAGGGATTTAGCCGCGCTGCTCCGCAAATGGACAGTATATCCGTACCGTATAGCCGGATAGGAGCCACCTGAAACGAGTCAGATCGGCGTAGGAGGGTGCTGCGGCACGTGCGCCAATAACAACCAGCTTCTTTCCCTTCGCCCCCATGGACCAGCGTAATCGCCGTTCCACTTCAGACCACCGCCCTGGCAAGATCCTGAACGACAACCGCCAGAAGCGCCGAACCCCAGAGGAGATGGAGCAGCAGCGCCTCCAAAAGGAAGCAGACAAGGCTGACAAGGAAAAACGCGCCCAAGAAAAGCACGATAAACGCATTCGAGAAGCGGCTGCCGCAGAAAAACGTGTCCGCCAACAGCAGCAAGCCTTGGCCGCGTCCTCCAATCGGCCTGACCTTGCCCCAAGCCACCAGAATCTGGTCCAAACCCATGCAAAGCAACGAAATGAGGAGGAGGCGGTAAGTCGAATTCCTGTCCCATTCATCCTCTTATACACCTGCGTTCCAGTCCCGCAACCCCAAGCGCGCGGGCCAAGATGACTCCGCAGACTACAGAGGCAGCGATGAAGACGCTGCTGTCGTTAACCAGGTTTGTCATCGTGATTTTGCCGAGCCAGACTGACTTTTCTTAGCCCAACAACCTTCCCAAACGAATTGCAGGTGACGAGAGCGAAGGCGAAGGCAGCGTGAGCGGAGACGGCGATGGCGACGACGAATACATCGACCCTGGCAGCCATTTGTCCGACGGCTCCGAGAGTGAGGGAAGTGCGATGGCAATTGAGGTCGACAATGGCGAGTACGAACGTGAGCTGGCGAGGTTGAAGGCAAAATTTGGGAAGAGCAAGAAGGCGACGACAGCTGTCGAGAAGGCGTCGGAAAGGAAGAAGGCCAAAAGCAAGGCCAAGGAGAAGGTCAGTCGAGTTTAACCACAGAATGATAACTCACCCGCAAACTTAGGCCCCTCTCCGAGCTGCAATTAACGCCATCGACCAGCCCCACCCCAAACCGGTTGCAAAACGCAAGGCGACTCACGCTTCCAGTTCGGACGGCCCCAGGTATCTGTTCACCATCACGGAATCACCTCTGACGATTACCCAGGTCCAAAAAAACCAAGAGTGGTGTGGCTGTGAACTGGAGACAAGTCGCGGGCGTTGTAACTCCACAATCCGGCGCATCTTCCGACCCGTGGCAAGGTGTACTTGACCAAGGCAGACGCACGTCAACAACGTCTGTCTCTTCTGGTGCCAGCCTGCGAAGCGCAGACGATGAGATCGACGATATTCCTGAGGGTGATACTGAAAGCTTACAGGTTGCAGTGGAAGCAACTCGGCAAGGCCAAGTTGGTGCGACGACATCGATGGTAAGAGTCAAGTTGTTGTCGGTGGGAAAATCTATTGACATGACATTGACAAGGCTGGCATCGTTCTTCGACAAGCATCTTCCGCTCCCGATGTCGAGGTCAAAGTCAAGAAAGGCCCCAAGCCCCGCTATACCAAGGAGGACTTGCCGCTCCATAGCGGTGAGGACAAGAAGGAATTCCGCGAATCTGTCGTCGGTTTCGTCATCGACTGGGCGGGGACTTTGGCACAACCATTCACCACTGCTGGCCATCCGGACTACAGGGGAAATGTCAAAGACGCATGGGAGACGGTCTTCTCCCAGGATGCCGCGTCTCCATATGCCATTACAGAGGCTGTTTATCATGTCGTATGTATTCGTTTGCAGAACAAACTGATAATACTGACTATTTGACAGGTTAGCGGGAATCTCGACAACTGGCGAAGCGATATTGGCAAGGAAGCTATCCGAGTAGCTGGAGCACTGCTGCAATTTGTCGAGCGAGATGATCAGGGTCGACCGCTGCCAAACCAGCCAGTGGTCACCAAAGCACTTATCGCGCAGCGTGCCGAAGATCAGCTGGCCAATGCCAACTTTCTCTATGCTGGAGGAGCTGCCCATGTACGTTGTCCCCCATGCAACAACGTGATCTGACAGCTATAGACGGGGATATATCGCTCCAAGTATATTCTCATTCCATTTGCACGTCAGCACCTCCGACTGGCCATCCAGCCTCGCACCCAAGCCAACTTTGGCTTCCCGGCTGGTGCTCTTGCTGTATGCGCCGCTGCAGTGCGCCATCCCAACCCTATTTGCTCCAAAACTAATATATTTCAGGCCCAACGCGCACTCGAGATGTGGCGGACAGGCGAGTTGATTACGAAGATTGATCTTGGAGGCGGCCGCCACAAGAAGCTGCTGTTTTCGAGCAACGACTGGGCCAAACGGACAGCAAAATACTATAACGGAATCATCACCATCCAATCAGAGCAAAAGCGGCGGCTGATACTCGAACTCGCCGAGCCATATACAAGGACGAAGGCCACTGCCAGCCTTGCCGACATCCCCTCCAGCGACCCTGACATGGATAACATGGATGATGGGCCAGGGAGCTTTGACCCGCGGGAGCGATTGGATATTTCCGAGGACGAGGACGAAGGGTAGAGGCCTAATTTACTTGTTATTATACTATCACACTGCCAATGATGACGATTACACGACCCAATTACCCTCTGGAGGAATGTCTGGTATCTCTCTGGAGGTGACTCTGGCACCAGCCAATTGTCTGGGGGCCGCTGGAATTGGGCATGTCCCCTGGGACCAGAGGCTCTCTGGTAGACCTGGCAGACCTGGAGGACCTGGCACCAGGTCTGCCAGAGAAAAAGGAGTTTTCCTGATGTATCTGACGTTAGCCTCAAGCAAATAACAATGGAAACGGGCGCAGTTGATGTGCTTGTTGACCAGCTCGCCGTTGAGGTAGGTGTCCTGGGTGAGCTGCGAGAACGAGACCTCGGGATAGCCGCGGTCCTGGCCCAGCTTGTACCATGTCGCGAAGATGCGGGTTACCTAAAGGAACTCAGCATATACTCTCCGCACATGTACGGATGCCGCACCATGTCGTCGATGCGCGATTCAGGCACGCTGCCGTTCCTGATCATGTTGATCAGCTCGACGCCCCACTGTAAGGGCAACCTCGCGAGGCTCGAAATCAGAGTCCTGAGCAGAGGGGGAATCCTTAGTGAACTACTACAACAGGAAGGGACGCTACAGACTCACCTGAGCAGAGGGGGAATCCTTAGAGAACAAGCCAAGGAGCCCTCTGCTCAGGTGCACTACTATATACTAGTGACCGGAGTAATGATAGAGTGACTGCATAGCGACGAACGACGCATGGGAGAAGTCAGGTGTCGCTAATGGACCCTAGGTGAGTGTCGAGTAGCCCTCGAAGCTCCGGAGAGGCAGGTTTGGGACCGTGATGCCAAGGGAGGAGCCCAGGCATCCTTAGAAGGCCTAATAAGGGCTTCGGGAGGTCCAGGCTGCCTCTGAGCGTCTCCGCTTGTGACCGTGACCGTGACAACCGGAATCGGAACCGGAATCGGAATCGACTCCGGGTGTGTGACCGTGACGTGACGGCCGGAAACGGAGAGGGAAGGCGTGGAGCGGAAAGGGAAGGAGTCTGGTCTAGCCCAAGGGCCGGGGAGTGTCGGAGAGGACCAATGGGAATGGCGGCCAGCCATGACCACTGGAGGGTAGCGACAGGAGGGTCACTCGGAGACGTCCCCGGACGTCTCCAGAGAGGTGGGTGTGAGGGCGTGCAGCCTGGGGCGCTGCGGTAGGCACGAGCCTTAACGGCAGTAGGCCTCACCCAAAGGGAGACCCGATGACGGGGGCCGTGGTGGCGGAGTGGGAAGCGGAGCCATGGCGAGGCTCAGCCATCCGAACGTAAGCCCGAACGCTGACATAGGTTGGAGACACCTAAGAGGTCCAGCAGGTAGAGATCGTAGGGAGACCTTGATAAGTGACAGCCCAGAGAGGCTGGCAGGCCATAGGCTCAAGGTCTAGAGGGAAGTGGTGCATCCACATCCGGAGAGGTCTCCGATGGCATTAGTGATCCCTGATCGTGACTCCGGAGAGGCTCCCGGAAAGGGGTGGCCAGGGAAGTCAAAGACTAGGGATTACTGGATGTGGGATGTGGTGCGGGCAGTGGAGGGAGAGCGTAAGGGTGTGGAGACACGGAAACACGAGTGGAGACGTGGAGACGCGAGCGGAGACGTGGAGACGCGAGCGGAGACGTGGAGACGCGAGCGGAGACGCGGCGCTTGATGGGATCAAGTGACGGCATCAGGGTTTCCCCTGACATCATCCCCCCTTCAAGCTGCGTCGCCCCGATGCAGGAAAAAAAAATCGGGGGGTCACTGAGCTCGTCCTCCGGAGTCCCTTGTCCTCCAGTGGCCAAGCTCCTGTCTCCGTCGATGTCCAGAGACTGTCCATCTCCAAGAGCCAGTGTGACGGTACCTTGGCGTTGCTCCAGTGATTGCTGTTGCCAAGGTCAACCCATGGAGTACTTGCGTTCTCCACTGGTTGCGCGCCCATATTCGGAGACGCCCCGGAGACCTGCGGTCCCGGTGCCTCTCCAAGAGATGGTGCAACTACACCTTTGCGTAGCTTCGGTGTGCGCCCGCTTGCGTTCTGGTCGCATGTTGCTCCAGGAGGGTCCTCCGCGAGTCCCCTCCTATACCCTCTCCATCCCCCCTTCAAGAGTGCGGCGCCCCCGACGCACCACAGAAAAAAAAGGGGGTCTGCGCTTAGCAGAAGCACCAAGTACACCTCCGGAAACGTCTCCGTTTGTGACCGGAAACGTCTCCGAGCGTGACCGGAAACGCCTGTGACGTCACAGGGGCGATTCCGTCCATCTCTACTGGGTTGTTGGAGATCGTTGGGCGGCAGATGACTTGCCGTGGGGTGATAGCATAGCGAGTGGCGAGCTCACTTTTACTGCACCCAGATGTCAGGTTGGGGGGGGAAAGGAATTGCAGTGTGACTCCGGACAGTGCGCTGTCAGCCGGGGCACTAAGCCTAGTGTTGCGGACTGGGTGGCAACAGCTCGACCCATCCTA